CCTCTTCTAACCGGTTCGGTAGATTTGACGAACCGGTTCTACCGAATAGGTGCGAACTGGTAGGAACCCACCTCTGCTGGAACCAAATCTGATGGACCCTCAGAAACAGGAAGGAGGAAGGAAATATGCTGGTATATGATAACCTATGTTTCATCCCTTAACTTTTTTTTTCAAGAGGCTGTGGCAGAAGATTTAAATGGATCTTGCAGGAACATGCCTTTCTCTCAAAGGTTGCGAAGATTCCAAATTGTTTCCTGAGCTATTTTGACCTTTTACATTTCTTTTCCCTGCAATTTGATTTGAGTTCGGGGTGGTGGTGGATCGAATGTCTGAGATTATCTCCTTTTAAACAATGTTCCATTGCACAGTTGTTTTTAGCGAAAAAGGAAAACAATTCAATACATTTCAAAAGAACTGTCCAAGTGCTTCTATTTTAATTCATTCATTCCTTCATCAAATTTATACAGAGGCCAAGCTCACCCGAATCTTCACCAATGAAAGATTCAAATACATAAATGTTTTCCAATATTTATATATACTGGATCAGGAGATACGTTTAAGACTTCAGGTGGAAGTGGGTTTATTTTTTTTTAATTTTGGGTTGTTTGCAATTTTATTGGTTCATTAAATCCAGAGGCTATTAACTCCCCTCCCTATTTTTGTTTGCTGTTTCAGGAGCGGCTGGTTCTCTCTGTGTTACCTCGATTTGTTGTGCTAGAAATGATTAATGACATGAGCAATGTGGAGGACGAACATTTGCAACATCAGTTCCATAAGATCTATATTCACCGTTATGAAAACGTCAGGTGCTTCTCCTTTCTTTTTTCCCCCCAGATTAATCTTGTCTTCTTCAGCTGAATGTGTGTTCCTCTTTTGGTCAGTTCTTTCCTCATCGGTTTTGAAGGTTAAGAGACATTTCTGAAACGTTGAGTTTCTCTTCCAGGGGTTGGCTGCTATGGGCTTGCCCAGGTTCGGGAGAAACTTTAGCTAATGTTATGGTTGGTTTGCAGAACCTCCAAATGCCACCCCTGGCTGGCCCCGCCCACCCTGCCCCTCCCAAGAGTCTCCATGTGGCCCATTTTGGATGTGAGGTAAATGCATGGCACACGCGGAGGCTCACGGAGGGGAGAAAACAAACCTTATAGAACTTCCAGAAGGCCAAAAATGGGCCTGTTTCCTGCCTCCAGAGGACCTTTGGAGCCTGGGTGAAGCAGTTTTTGCCCTCCCAGAGGGTCGAGGAAAGCTCCAGAGCCTGGGAAAGGCAAAAACAGCCCCCCCCCGCCGTGGTATAGGATGCTGACTACACCACGCCATGCCCACCATGGCCACACCCCCTCAGCAACCGGGCAGAGAACCCGTGGCTGAAATTTTTGAAGCCCACTCCTGTTCTCTCCTTGCTGTTCTTCTTCCTGTTTGAAAATGGAGATGTCCCTGTCTTAATTCCTCAAAATATCCCAGCCTTCTTTTTCTCACTTCACTTTTTGGTAGAAATGAGAGGATTTGGTTTGATTTTAGCGCTCTAGTTTTCCACTGTAGCCCACTGAGTCTCCCATCCCAAGCATGCTAACTTCAAAGGATGCCTGGACAGAATTGATGGGACTTGCTTCCTTGTAAATACGATTAAGCTTCAGCCTACAATCTTTTCAGCAGAGATATCAAAGCATAGATGAGAAAGGAATAACCCTCCCAAATGGAATAGGGCATCCTGAAACCCAATTTAGCTTGGGCTGCTAGCTAACAATCCTGCCAGTTGGAATCACAATTTTAAAAACTCTTCAGTTTAAATAACTACCGTTATTTTTCAGAGTATAAGATACACCTTTTTCCCTCAAAAAAGAGGCTGAAAATCTGGGTGCATCTCATACACGGAATACAGCAATTTACCCTCCTGAAATCCCGCCCTCTTCACCAAAATGGCAGTGCATAGCCTTTAGGATGCTTTCAGAGTGCTCCTGGGGGCTGGGGAGGGCAGAAATGACCGAAAAACCTGCCATTTTTTGCTCAATTTTGCCCCCCCCCCCAGCCCTCAGGAGCACTCTATAAGCCACCTAAAGGCTATGCATGCCCTTTTTTGACAAAAAAACAGACCGTTTTTGGGGGGTCTGCAGAGTGCAAAAACTTTTTTAAAAAATTTGCCTCTTCAAAATCTTGATGCATCTTATACTCCAGTGCACCTTATACTCCAAAAAATATGGTATTCAGGCCTGCATAGTTTATTATACTTGAGAGGAATACTCCAGTTATCTATACCATCTTATCATAGGCTTAATAAATTGATTCCCCCCCTCTCTCCTTCCCACTCCCTCTCCCTGGTTAGAGTTAAGGGCCGTGAGGTTAGGTGGTCATTGGGGGATTGCAGAGACAAATGTTGCCAGCCTAACTACTATAGGTAGTCAGAGGTGGTATTCAGCTGGTTCCAACCAATTCAAATGAACCAGTAGCGGAGATCCCGCTCTGGCACTATGCCATCCTATTTAGTCATGTTTTTAAGGTCAGGCGCATGTACTGAAGGCACGCACATGAGCAAAGCGCATGTACAGAAGGCTGGGCACATGCACAGAAGGTTCACACACAAGGCGAGCATCTAAGCGCGGGGCGAACTGGTGGTAAAAATAAATGAAACTCACCGCTGTAGGTAGTCCTTCACTTATGACCACAATTGACCTCAATATTTCTGTTGCTAAGCAATACAGCTGTTAAGTGTGCTTTGCCCCATTTTATGACATTTCTTGCCATAGTTGTTAAGTGAAGGACTGCAATTGTTAAGTTAGTAACTCAGTTGTTAAGTGAATCTGGCTTCCCTATTGACTATGATTGTCAGAAGGCTGCAAAAGGTGATCACATGACCTTGGGACCAAAACATTGCATTCATAGCCTTATAGAGGCTTATAGAGTGCTTCTGGGGGCTGGGGGCAAAACAACGCCCCGGTTTTGGTCATTTCTGCCCTCCCCAGCCCCCAGGAGCTCTCTGAAAGCCTCCATAAGGGTATGCATGGCCATTTTGGTGAAGGGGGCGGGGCTTCGAGAGGCAAAAAAATGCTGTATTCAATGTATAAGACACACCCAGATTTTCAGCCTCTTTTTTGAGGGAAAAAGGTGTGTCTTATACTCCGGGGGGAAAAAAACAGTTGTCACTAAAAGTTTGGTTTGGTTTGGTGACTTAAGTGCCTCAGATAGAAAGTCCATACTGAGAGTGGTGAGGACAGCTGAGAAGATTATAAGAAGCTTGCTTCCTGTTATTCAGGATACTGCTTGTAAATACTATACGCTTAGAGCTCAAAGCATTGTTAGAGACCCCACACACCCACTTCACGGTCTATTTCTGTTGCTCCCCTCTGGGAGGAGGTTTCTAAGTATTTCTAGCAGGACTAACAGATTCTGTAACAGCTTTGTCCTTTATGCCATCCATCTAGTAAACTTGAAAGATTTGCTTTTCTTGCCATATACATATGTACATCCAACCTGGACTATATTGTTTCTCTGTGTCATATATATGTGTGTGTGCATATATATAAATGCAAAATGATTATCCTTTGAGAGCTGAATGCTAATTAATGTACATTTAAAGTGACAATAAAGCTCTATTCTATTCCTTGTTCTGTTCTATTCCATTCCATTCCACTCCACTCCACTCCACTCCACTCCATTCCATTCCATTCTATTCTATTCTATTCCTTTCCTTTCCATATGACAGGATCAATCAGACATGAATACATCCCTATGTAGCATTGTTCTTTGAGTTGCCCTACTATATCCTTATTAATCTGATTGTTCATCCTCTTTCTGTGTTCAGCATTCTTTTTGCAGATGTGAAAGGATTCACCAATCTCTCTACAACATTATCGGCTCAAGAGTTGGTTCGGATGCTGAATGAACTTTTTGCCAGATTCGATCGCTTAGCACACGTGAGTCCAACTGCTGATGCCTTTTTTCCTGAACTTTGGTAGAGAAGCAGGATGGAAAAAGAGAAATGCATACGCAAAGTGACACCTAAATCAGATTTGCACCTTTTGGTGACTCACAAGAGCAAACGCAAAATTTTGCTTTTAGTTTCCAAGTGCATCTCAGTTTTTCAGTCTAAGGCAGGCGCAACTAACATGTGCTTGGCAGGCTGTACATAATTGTTGCGCAGTCTTGAAATAGCCCTGATTTTAATCTTACTGAGTTATCCGTTCCTTCTATTTCTTTGCCTTGCCAAATGGCCTTTTCCTTCATTTGAAGCAAATGTTTCCTTTCCATCTCATGTTTCTTGAAATTAGATCATGTGAAGTGTTAATACCACTTTATAATGCCTTGGGAAGGCCACACTTGAAATACTGCATTCAGTTTTGGTCGCCACGATGTAAAAAAGATATTGAGACTCTAGAAAGAATGCAGGAAAGAGCAACAAAGATGATTAGGGGACTGGAGACTAAAACATATGAAGAACGGTTGCAGGAACTGGGTATGTCTAGTTTTATAAAAAGAAGGACTAGGGATAAAATGATAGCAGTGTTCCAATATCTCAGGGCTTGCCACAAAGAAGAGGGAGTCAAGCTATTCTCCAAAGCACCTGAGGGCAGGACAAGAAGCAATGGGTGGAAATTAATCAAGGAGAGAAGCAACTTAGAACTAAGGAGAAATTTCCTGACAGTTAGAAAAATTAATGAGTGGAACAACTTGCTTCTAGAAGTTGTGAATGCTCCAACACTGGTTTTTAAGATGTTGGATGACCATTTGTCTGAAATGGTATAGGGTTTCCTCCCTAGGTAGAGGGTTGGGCTTGAAGACCTCCAAGGTCCCTTCCAACTATTATTCTATTCTATTCTATTCTATTCTATTCTATTCTATTCTAGATAATGTTCCTTGAGAAACTGACTCAAATCAGGACAGGTAGCAAGTGGTATTCTCAATTTTTCTTGATGTACCCAAATCTTCTTAGTGGAAAATAAATGCTTTTAATAATGTGGCCTATTTTCATAGTCTTAAACTGAGTTCTATTGGAGAAAAGTCTTTCCTGCAATCAGAACCACTCTGTAAACCAATGTTTCTCAAGGAACGCTACTTTAAGTTGCGTGGAGCATGGTTGGCTGGGGAATTCTGAGAGTTGAAGTGCACGTATCTTAAAGTCTTCAAGATTATGAAATACTGCTGTAGACACTGAACAAGACGGTTGAATCTGGCAAAGGAGCTACGTTTGTTATCAACAAATGGTGCAAGTAACCTCCACATCTGA